GCCTGGGACCAGTTGTACAGATACTTTCTCTGGCCTCTGCCCAGACCTGTTTCTGCAGTGGACTTACAACAGGGCATGCTTTTAGACTTGTTAACTAAGGGTTGGGCACCCAGATGGGGAAGAAGCTTGGGAGGCAGGACATACCCACATCAGCCCCTGCTGTATTGGAGCACACTGTGTTCCTGGCTCTGTACATTAAGCTCCGTCCCATACAGGAAACCTTAAGTTTTCACAGTGTTTTTTCAGTAAAGGTGTCATTGTTTAGTATTCATCTGATTCACCCAAGTGATAAGTTGGAGGGCCTGTGGAAGGTTTGGTGGCTAAAGGCACTTGTCACCAAGTGATAGGTGATGTTGAACCTGGGAACCATCCCAGCCTCTCTGTGAGCATTTAAAAACCAAAATTGTAGACCAGTTGTCTGAACTAAGGAAACTAGAACTCTAGCTGGGATGGTGACTCACATCTGCAATCTCAGCATTTAGGTAGCTGAGCCAGGAGTGATCAGATAAACTGCCAAAGCTATGCGAAATCTCTTCCTGGGAGGCAGGCTTCTCCTCTAGCTCACAGCTGGCCTTCAGCCTTTCCTTCCGCCCAGCATGAGATTCCTGGAGCAATGTTATTCTTTGGGGTCTGTTATTTCACAGGGCTGATAGCACAAGTGTCTCTCTAGGATTGTCTCCTTCCCTAAAAGGACAGGTACAGGAGGATGGTGCAAGTCTGAAGCCTCCTTGAGGTGACACAGTTCCAGACCAGCCTAGACCACAAAACAGAACAAGGCCCTAGACTTACACAGTGCCCTGGGTTTGGAGTTCTAAGCCTGTGCAGTGGACTCTCCAGGATGGCTGCAGTGGCCCTGGCCTGCTGGTGTTCACCTGTGGCCGAGTTCACTTCCCATTGCCAAGATAAACATCATGACCAGAAAGCAACTTGGAGAGAAATGGTTTGTTTGACGTGTACATCCTGATCACAGCCCATCGTGAAGGGAAGTCAGGGCAGGAACTGAAGCAGAGACTGTGAAGGAGAGCTGTTAACTGACTGGATCTTCGTAACTCACTCAGTCTCCTTTTTTATCCAACCCTGGCCACCTGTTCTGGGATGGCAGCATACACAGTGGACTGGGCTTTTTCCTTTTTTTTTTTCAAGACACCTGACATCAGTTTTTTGTTTTGTTTTGTTTTGTTTGTTTGTTTTTTGTTTTTTCGAGACAGGGTTTCTCTGTATTGTTTTGGAGGCTGTCCTGGAACTCACTCTGTAGATCAGGCTGGCCTGGAACTCACAGAGATCCGCCTGCCTCTGCCTCCCAAGTGCTGGGATTAAAGGCGTGCGCCACCAACACCCGGCTCTGACATCGGTTCTTAATCAAGAAAATTCCCTCACAGACTTGCCCACAGGTCAGTCTGATAGAAGTGTTTTTGTAGCTGAGGTTCCTTCTTCTAAATGATTCTAGCTCAAGCTTGTGCTAAATTGACAAAAACCAAAAAACTAGTCACTGGATCTATCAACCACACTCTAGGGCAGGCCCAGGAGTAGTTGACCTAAAAAACAGACTCCATAGTTTTTTTGTTTGTTTTGTGCCCTTTTTGTTTTGTTTTCTAGTACTTATTTTCCTTTATTTTAATTTATGTTTTGATTTTCTCTTTTCTTGTCTTGTTTTTGGTTGTTTTCTTTTTAAGGAAGAGAGAAACAACATAAAGTTAAGTGAGTGAGGGGGCTCTGGGAGGAGTTGGGGGAGGGGAAAGAATATGCTCAAAATATATTGTATATATATTTAAATTTTTAATAAAAATTAACAATAATTACACACCACAGCCTCCACGAGCAGCCCTCCCCACTGACTCCAGGCTGGGCCTGGCAACTTGCTTCTAAGAAACAGAATATAGCCGAAAGCGGTGAATGCCACTTGAAACATTACACTGGCTGCCTCTGATTGAAGCAAGCTGCTCTGTTGTGAGTGGCTCTTTAAAGAGGATCAGCGGCAACAACAAATAAGAAACTGAGGCCTTTAGCCTAAAATGCTCCGAGAGCAGAATTCAGTGAACAGCTCCCAGTGAGTGAGCTTGCAGCACTTAGGCCTCCACTGGGCCACCTGGGGGAGACAGTAGACCTTGATGGGAGCCCTTGAGAGGTCTGCACCAGGCTAAGCCCCTCCCCGTCCCCCCACCCACAGGAACAGAGATAATAACGGTGTGCATGTGCATCTTATGCCACTAATGTTTTAAGCCACTAGATTTCATTTAAGCTCTCTGGAGATTTAGATGAAATCCATGGGAGGGATTAGCTTCAGAACTAGTGAAAACAGCCTGAAAGATAATGGGTAAAACCAAATGAGAGCAGAGCGGGCGGTGCAGAGATTCAGTCCCAACTGGGGAGACAGGCAGGTGGATCTTTGTGAGTTTAAGGGCCAACCTGGTCTACATAGTGAGTGAGTTCCAGGACAGCCAGGGCTGTGAGACTCTGTATAAAAAACAAAAAGCAAAACAAAGCAAAACAAATAGAAGAGAAAGGAGACATTTGGTCTCATGCAAGGCCTGCATTCCTACCCCAGGTAATTTGTCATGCGGCAATCAGTAACTAACACTCTTCAGTATTTAACAGTGTCTGGGCCTGAAGGCACAAAGATGAAGATGGCGGTTTCCTAGCTTTCAGGGGATAGTCACTGAAGGGTTAAGGTGGCTGTGCATTGTTGGTCTGTGAGCTGACAGTCCACCTTACCCAGCCACAGGGGTCAAGCAGACTTCTTGGGAGGTACCACTCAGATCTAGGTCTGGGAAGAAGAGGGGTAGAGAGATGACTCTGCTCTTACAGAGGTCCCTGGTTCATTTCCCAACATGGGGGTCGACAAATCATAACTCCAGTTCCAAAGTACTGACTGCCTCTTCTGGCCTCAGCAGACACCAGCACACATGTGGTACACATGCACACTGTCAGCAAAATACTCATGTACATAAAATAAATCTGAAAAATATTGTAAGGAGCTGGCAGTGGTGGTGCATGCCTTTAATGCCAGCACTTGGGAGGCTAAGGTAGGTGGATCTCCGGGTTTGAGGCCAGTTTGGTCTACATAGTGAGTTCCAGGCCAGCCAATGCTACATGCCTCAAAATAAGAAAATAAAAGAGTTCAAAATCTGCCTTGGCTATTTAGTGAAGTTCTAGTCTGGGTTATGAGACCATGTCTCAAAAAAAAAAAAAAAAAAAGCCTACTAAACATTGGTACAGGGGCCAGTGAGTCAGCACTTCCTTAGCAGTACCTTCTGGGCTCAGATCACGCCCTATTCTCACAGCCAGAAGTTTCTGCGGGGCAGAGGATGGAAGCCAGGCCTGACACATTACAGGCAAGCACTTTACCCCTGAGGCCGTCCCGACCAAGGACTGGAGGTCTGAATTGATTACATGTGCTGAGCTAAGGGTGCTGATGGTTCTGAAGTCTTTTAACCTGAAAAGGGGTGTGACTGGTTTAACCATAGGAGCACAGGTACACTGAACTAAAGAGGTGTGTGGTGCACACCTTTAATCCCAGCACTTGGGAGGCAGAGGCAGGCGGATCTCTGTGAGGTCCAGGACAGCCAGAGCTACACAGAGAAGCCAAAAACCAAATAATTAATGAATTTTAAAAAAGAAATGCCATCAACTCACTCTAATTGAGCATTTTCAGTGCTCCAGACCTATGCACCCGAGTTTGTCCGCACAATGCCTTGAGTTCTTTGTCCCTGTTGGAGTTGAGGGGACTGCAGTTCACTGAGAAGACAGTGTCCCCAGAGCCTGAGCTCTTGGCCATGTGCTTTGCTAGACTATTGAGGGCAAAGCTAAGGCTGGAAAAATCCAGGCCTCCTGACACCTCCAGGAGCTGCCCTGCTTCTTTTCTTCATTTTTTTTTCTGGGCTGAGAATGTAGCTCAGTTCATACAGTTCTTGCCCAGCATGTACAAGTATAACAATATTGGATGCTATATAAGGAAAACAATATATTTATTTACCAGAGAGAGAGAGAGAGAGTCGCACAGACCAGGAGTTAGAAGCATGGCTGGCTTCCAGGAGAAAAAAGGGAAGCCCCTTTTCCTTTCACTTCCTTTTATCTCTACCTTGACCCCGCCCTGATGGGCGGATAGCTTTGTGGGGTTCACTCCTACATACAAGGATCTGTATTCCATCCCAGCACTATCTACACAAATCATGGTGACTCATACTTGTAATCCAAGAACTCAAGAGGTGGAAACAGGGGGATCAGGAGTTCAAGATCATCCACTGACATATAGCAAGCTTGAGGTCAGTATGGGCTACATCAGACCAAACAAAAGTCTGGTGTAGTGAAATAATATTTACTATGAATCATTTTTTTCTTTGTGTCTCTGTGTAGCTTATGTATGTGAGGGGAGGTATGTGGGGGCGGGCAGAAGTTGACATCAGGTGTCTTTCTCTCTCATTCTCTAGCTTTAATTTTTTGCTTTGTTTTGAGATGAGCTAGCTGTGTAGACCAGGATGGCCTCAAACTGATGAGAGATTTCCCCTGACTATGGCTCCTGAGCACTGAGATTAAAGAGCTGTGCCACCACTCCTGGCTTCACCTTTTTAGATGTCAAATTACATTTATTTATTTGTTTGTTTATTGTGTATCCCTGAGAGCTGGATTGTGAGTGCACAGCACGTGAGTGGTGGAGACAGACAGGACAACCTGCAGGAGTCAGTCCTCTCCTTCCACCTCATGGGTCCCAAGGACCAGCTCAGGTTGTCAGGCTTGGTGGCAAGTGCCTTTACCCACGCCACCATTCCCACAGCCTTCACCTCAGTTTTTGAGACAGGGTCTCTCAGTGAACTAGGAGCTCACCAAAGCAACTCAATGAGGGGGCCAGAAGGCCCCAGGGAGACTCCTGTCTCTCCCTGGTGTTGGGATTACAGTGTGTGCTGCATGTCCGACTTTCCAAATGGGTCCAAGGAGTGGACTCAGATCCTGCACAGCAAGCACTTTATGAATGAGACACGCCCCTAGGGGTCATGGTTTTTTATGTGTGTCACTGGCTTCCAGAGCTCGTCACCTTGTAAAACTGAAAGTCTGTAGCCATTAAACAATCATTGTCCACTGTTCCAGCCTGCTGCCTTAGCCAATTTCACTCTGGTATTTATGAAGCTGACAGCTCTAGGTTGAAGCTTCTGTTCTCTGCTCTGCTGTGGAAACATCTTTGCTTAATGTCGGTGAGTTGAGTGGTACGGACGGCCACGGCCACGTTCAGAGGGGCTAAGGTTCCCGAGAGCACAGTGGTCAGAGCGAGGTCAGAGCCTGCAGCCTGTGGATCGAGGAGGAAAGACAGCAGGAGCCAGTCAGCACGCTTCTGGTTATGAGTTTGAGGTCAGCCTGGGCTATATAGTCCCACAGGGTGAGGAGACAATGGGGAAATGACTCAGAGATGTTTGGTCTTTGTGGCCTGCCCTTTGGTTTATGACAGCCACCTCAGCAGCACTGACCTTTGCCTCCATCATATGAGTGGAGGCACCAGGCCACCTCACCAAGTCACAGAGCAGCTGCGGCCTCCAGAACCATGGGGACCAGCCATCGCAGTCGGTCCTTTCGAGAACCACGGTCTTGCTATGGGAAGCTCCATGAGTCCCAGGGGAGGACCCAGGAGGGCCGACTCCACCGGGCACTGAGCCTCAGACAGGTCCGTGAGAAGTCCAGACCGCAGGGCCTTGATGGCATGGAACGGCTGGAGGCCCCTGCTCAGGAGCGGCCGCCAGGAACCCCGGGAGACACAGAGCAGCTGATCCAGACTCAGAGAGAAGGCAGCCAGCGGTGGCTGAGGCAATACCAACAGGTGCGGCTTCTAATTGAATTGTCAGTTCCATGGGAGATGGTGGAGACCCTGGGCAGCAAAGGGTTAACAGCACAGCTGCCCTGAGGAAAGCCAAGCAAAAGACCCAGGGGTGGATTGCATTCTGAAAGCAGCTGGGATTTTTTTCAGTGAGCACTGGGAGTCAATGAAGGTTGTAGGAGGGATGGAATGGAGCCTGGGTGGGATGTGGTCAGAACTTTGTGTGGGTTTGTTTGGTTGGTTTTCCTTTTTCTTTTCTTTCTTTCTTTTTTTTTTTTTTTCCATTTTTGGTTTTTTGAGACACGGTTTCTCTGTGGCTTTGGAGACTGTCCTGGAACTAGCTCTTGTAGACCAGGCTGGCCTCGAACTCACAAAGGTCCTCCTGCCTCTGCCTCCCGAGTGCTGGGATTAAAGGCATGCGCCACCACCGCCCGGCTTTTTTTTTTTCCCCTCTTTGGTTTTTTGAAACAGTGTTTTTTCTGTGTTACAGCCCTAGAACTGACTCTGTAGACCAGGCTAGCCTTGAACAGAGATCTGCCTGCCTCTGCCTCCCCAGTGCTGAGATTAAAGGCATGCACCACTACCACCCAATAGAACTCTGTGTGTTTGAGATAGGAGTAGCCTGGAACTCCATCTTGATCCTACTGTGTCCTGAGGAATGTGCTGGGAATACGGGCATGTATCACCATGCCAGCCTTTCAGAGCTGTATTAAGATGCTTAATGAAATACTAAGTTGGAAGGGTGACTAGAACAGAAGGCATGGAGATTGGCCAGTGCGACTTCTGGCAAGTTACTGGTCTGCCTTCTTACCAGGGAAGAATAAATTTCCCCACCCCACCCGGCCATGCCTCCCAGGGTGCAGAGTAGCCTTCCCCCCGGGAGCTTAGCCTCTTTCATGCGTCTACCCCCACCTGGTGGCTGTGTGTGGAACAGCACCTGAAGCCCACCACTATGTTGTCATTTTCCCCACTTTGGTCTTCCAGCAGGTAAGGAGAAGATGGAAGAGCTTTGTAGCCAGTTTCCCCAGTGTGACCCTGAATCGACCAGCTTCCCCGGAGACCTTGTTGGACGCCAACAGCTAGAGCGGCTGTGATTGTCCCTCACTCCACCCGCTGGACTCCTATGTCTCCTCTTCTGCTCTTCGTGGCTTTTCTGTACTCAGAACTGCTCCAGCCTTTGTCGTGTGACCCAAGGAAGCCTCTGTCACTAGGCCATTAGAGACCCTGTGTGGCTGCCCTTCTCTGTTCTGGCAGCTAACTCTTAGCAAAGACCTCCATGGGCCTGAGGAGAAGGCACTCAGCTCTCTGCCTTCTGGACTGACTGTTTGAAGGTCCTAGGGAACCTACACAGAAATGAGAGTGTCAACAACACTCTTGACCCCACACAAACCAGCCATCCATTTCTATGATAGAGTTCATTGAAGCCAAACATGGCTGAGAATTTCTTGAATATCACCTGGTCACAGGGCCAAACTCCACCTTGGCCTGCTAGTGACAGGCCAAGACTTGGGTCTCCCTCACAGTCAATGAGCCTTCTAAGGCCAGGACCGAATCTGGACTGTCCTCACTGTGGGTGCTGAGTGCCCAAACATGCACATTGCTGCCTTGGACCTCATTGAATCCTAATGAAGGAAGCAGGGAAGCCCTCCCTCCCTGTACGACAGAGGGAAACAGAGGTCCAGAGAAGAGAAGAGACCTCCTGCCTTCACACACACATGCCCAGTACCTGATGCTGGGGTTGAACACATTAATAAAGCCACTGAGCTGAGGGGAAACTATTTGTATAGTGACTAAGATGGAAGATCTGAGCCTCTCCCAACTCCTGTGAAACAGGCCAAGTCCAGAGTCCAAGGTCTCACTCTGAGAGGGCAAAGGGATCTCCTAGGGCCTCACAGAGAGCGGGTCTGAGCTCTATGAAAGGTATCAGGCCTTCTGGTGGGTCCTCTGAGTTCTTCAGGTTCCAGCCTGATGTCCTGGCACAGGGTCCACTGAGGGGTTGGGTAAGTCCAGGAGATACAGTGATAGGCTCCTTGTTTTCCAGCAGCTCAGAAACCTGGCAGGACCACTCAAGCACAAAAGAGGTCCTGGACAATATTTGTCCTTGGCAGCCATTGGGAACTTGGCCTGGAAGCTCGACTGTGGCAACAGTAAAAATTTTTTAAATTATCACATTTTTATTTGTGTATGTGTATGTATGTGTGTGTGGTGTGTATGTATGTGTGTGTGGTGTGGTGTGTGTGGTGTGTATGTATGTGTGTGTGTGTGTGTGTGTGTGTGGTGTGTGTGTGGTGTGGTGTGTGTGGTGTGTGTGTGTGCGTGTGTGTGTGTGTGTGTGTGTGTGTGTGGTGTGTGTGTGGTGTGTGTGTGGTGTGTATGTGTGTGGTGTGTGTGTGTGGTGTGGTGTGTGTATGTGTGTGGTGTGTGTGTATGTATGTGTATTGTGTATGTGTGTGGTGTGTTGTGTGTGTGTTGTGTGTGTGCACTCATAACTGCACATGTGAAGGTCAGAGGACAGCTTTCAGAGTTGGCTCACTCTGCACTGTGAGTCCTAGGGATAGATCTTAGGTCATCACGGACACACAGCAAGTGCTTTTACCTATTGAGCAATCTTGCTCTGTTGTGGGTGACCCTGCTCGGGCCCGCCTTGGGAGAGGGGGTGAGAGGACCCAGTACGAACAACTCAGGCACTGGGAGTCAGGGAGTAGCAGAGCATCCTGCAGACTCATTTATTAAGGAAGTTAGACCTGCCTTTATACCCCTTCCCAAAGTCCCATTGGATCAGGTAGCTGACTCTGTTGGCTTTGTCCTTTCCTCATTGGTGTCTCTGGTCAGGTGTCTCTTCGTCAGCAGTCTCTGGGCATAGAGGCAGGCTTGGCTCAGGGAGGAAGTGCCTGCCTCACATGCTCAAGCAGGCTAGCCTGGGCACCTGGCCATAGGCTGGCCACAGTTTCTCCTACATTGCTCTATTTGTTTATTTCGAGGCAAGGTCTCTTATAGCCAAGGAAGCCAATGCTAGCCTTGTGCTCCTGATGCTGGGATTGCACACACCTGACTCATAACCTTCTGTCCTGGCTTCCGGAACTGTGATTCAGCTTCTTAGAATTTGGAATTTGGGATCGTGGTTACAGAAGACATGGCAATCTCATGTGTTTGGAGGATTTTAGCTGGAGCAGGGACCACTGCCACACAGTAGGACTGGGACATTGTCACTCTGAACCACTGACTAGGGGTTACAGCCACAGCCTGTCCTGACCAGAAGCTCCTAGCGGGTGAGGCTGCCTCTCCTTGCACTCATTGTGCACATCTCTTCTCAGACTGCACTGGCTGCATTGGAGGTGCTCAGGGAATGTTTATGGCTCATGGGTCAGTATGGACAAAAGCTAGAGATCAGACAGTCTACGGTGCAATTTGGAAGCACCAATGCTGCAAAGGTCTCAGACACAGCAATGGCCCTGGCTTGTGCTCTGCATATGTTTGCTGCTAATGACCCCTTTCCCCGCTTCCCACTGTCCCCATGTGCCTGCTTCATACCCTGCCCATCCTTTATTTCCAATGGTTGTATAAGCCACTGAGAAGAGTGAAGCCTTGAGCCAGGCTCTGTAGCAGCTGCCTATACTCTCCTGTGCTTGAAGCCTCAGCTGCCCCATCCATCAAAGGAGATGACAGCCTTACCTTGCCAGATTTGATGAGGTGATGCCCCCCCTGAGGGGGGGGGACACACCATAGTGAATTGGACTAGAACCATGGTCAGATTGGGCTTAAATCTGACCAGACAAGCTTGCTGGTTGGGGGTAGGTGTGACTCCTAAGCAATTAGCTAGCTACCTCATGAAGGGCATACATCCCCACCTTCTAGACAGTGTAGGCACACATGAAGGCTGTGGCATTCAGAGGCCTCCGCAGTGTGAGGGTCAGCATGGCCTGCGCAGAGCACACGCCAGGGCTTTGCACTCACTGGCCCTCAGACAGCGTGTCTGGCTTCTTGCTCTACACGCTCTTAACTTTTTTTTTTTTTTTTTTTTGGTTTTTTGAGACACGGTTTCTCTGTGGCTTTGGAGGCTGTCCTGGAACTAGCTCTTGTAGACCAGGCTGGCCTCGAACTCACAGAGATCCGCCTGCCTCTGCCTCCCAAGTGCTGGGATTAAAGGCGTGCGCCACCAACGCCCGGCTCGCTCTTAACTTTCAGTTCCCCCTTATTTGCTCCACTTCCTCTGTCCACTGTGGGCAGAGCCACTCGGTCAATGTCCAGGGCTCTTGGCTCTTGCAGTTTGTAGCTAGTGGGCCTGGACTACATTGTCTCCCAGTCTGCCCTGTTCACCTTCTGGTCCTCCAGCAGCCTCTTAGTCTGCTCAGCTCGGAGCCATGGTCTTCATCTAGCATGGTTCTGTCAGCACTCCTGTCCTCAAGCGGTTCACAACGTGGCCATGGAGCTCAGACAGCTGCCTGATGCTCTGTTACAAAACGGCATAAATGTTCTCTAGGGCAGCCTGGGGATGGGGACTACACAGGAGGCCTGATCCCTGCACTAGGGTTGAGTCCGGGGCTTGACTAGGCATCTTCTTCAGCTTCCTGCAAGGAAGAAGGCTGGGAGCAGGCTGCGGGGAGAAAACTGCTGGGGAAATGGGGCCTCGGCTGTGCTAAATGGGGAAGCGGTGAGCCGAGGCGGTGGCACAGAAAACACCGTGTCTCTCAGGGCTGTGGATCTGGACAAGGCTATTTACCTTGTAGCTGAGGAGAACGAGGCTGCAGTGGGCCAGAGACAAGCTGGGACTGAGTCAGAGCTGCTTCCATGTCAGAGCTATGTTGCCTGTGCTGGATGTCCAAAACTCCTCTCTTAGGGTGCAGTATAAGCAGACAGTGGGAGGAGCTGAGGAGGCCAAGGCCTCAGTGTCAAAGCTACAGTCAGAGCCTCCTTCCTTCAAGTAACTTGACCTCAGGGGAAATCACTTCCCTCCTCTGAGCTTATGCCCCACTCCTGCTGCATTCTCTCTCTCTCTCTCTCTCTCTCTCTCTCTCTCTCTCTCTCTCTCTCTCTCTCTCTCTCTCTCTCTCCCCCCCTCTCTTCTCTCTCTCATGTTTATGTGCATGATGTATTGTGCAAACACACGACATGCACACTTGTGGATGCAGTGGAGTAGGTTTCTCCTTTCATCTTTACGCAAGCTCCAGGGATCGGATTCAGGTCCCCAAACTTGCATGATAGGCACCTCTACACACGAACCATCTCACCAGCCCACTCTCCTCTGGTCTTAATTATGATCCTTTGGGGTTTTGTATCTCCTGAGTGGACACTTACACATACCTAATTTGCCTTTATCATCAAGCTAGAGAACAAAGCGTGTAAAATGTCCAAGGTCGGGGACTAGAGAGATAGCTCAGTCAGTAAAAGGCTTGCTGTGCAAGCCTGAGGACCCAAACTCAATCCCAAACACACACATAAAAGTCCAGGTGCAGGGGCTGGAGAGATGGCTCAGTGGTTAAGAGCACTGACTGCTCTTTCAGAGGTCCTGAGTTCAATTCCCAGCACCCACATGGCAGCTCAAAACTGTCTGAATTCCAGTTCCAGAGGACCTGACACCCATGGCAAAGCACCAATGCACATAAAATAAAAATTAATAAATTTAATAAAAAGTTCAGGTACAGTGGCATATGCTGTAATCCCAATACTGGAGAGGCAGAGATAGGAGGATCCTGGGAGCCCATTGACCAATCAGCCCAGCCTAATGCATGAACCATGGGTCCCAAGTAAGAAACCCTGTGTCAACTGGGTATGGTGGTGCACAACGTTAATTCCAGCACCTTGGAGGCAATAACAGTTGAATTTCTGTGATTTAAAGGCCAGCCTAGTCTACAGAGTTTCAGGGCTACATAGAGAGACCCTGTCTCAAAAAAAAAAAAAAAAAAAAAAAAAGAGCCCTTCGTTAAAAAAAAACAAGATGATGACACCTGAAGGACAGACAACCTCTGAGGTGGACCCCTGACAGATGAATGTACACACACGCACACACGCACACACACATACACGTGCACACACACACGCACGCACACACATACACGTGTACACATACACACGCGCACGCACGCGCACACACACACACCTAGGCCAGGTGGAGGGTGAATTCTGTTTCTATCCCTTGCTAGCTGGGTGATATCAAACAGGTCATTCAACCTCTCTGTGCCTTGAATTCCTTATCTGTTGAATAAAAATAAGAGCCATCACTTCCCGCAGGGTTGTTATGGCTCCTGGAGTTAATACATGTAAAACATCAGATCCTCAGATCCATTAGTGAGCCCAGGGTTCACCAGTCCCAGACAGATCTCCACACACACCTAGGGCAAGAGCACTTCCTAAAACTCACATCTACCTCTGGGAAATGAGTTTTAGAATAGCCCCTGGCTGAAGGCATCTGGAAATGCAATGGGCCAGGGTACACCCTGTGCCCCACAAGGCCAGCCCTTGGAAGTGCCTGCTGTAGGCAAGCCTTGAGGAAAGCTGGCACTGAAAGCCTGGCGTGTCCTCAGTTCACCTTGGCTGTGCCTGGCCTTGGCAAGGCTGTGGGTGCCAGGGAGAAGCTTTCAGGATCTGGGAGAGTGGGCCCAACAGGCCGCAGACCAGATGGCAGCACCGGACCTCCCAGGAGGAGTCTGCCTGCAGTGCATGTGCGGGAATAGGTATGACAGGAGGGCAGACACTGGCTCCTCTCTGCACCGCCCATCCACTGTGCCTGCCACTGATCATACCTGCACTATCAGAGCTCCAGGACAGGCAGCCAACCCATCCCCTCCGCTTCCAAGGCTCCCCCAGCAGCGAGGATCTCAGACAGGATGCGAGGCAGCACTCCCTGCAAAGCCCACTCAGGTCAACTGCCTGAGAAAGACAGGCAGGCCAGCTGAGGGTGCAGAGGGGCCTAGAGAAGGGAAGAGAGAAGTGCAGGGGCGCTCCAGCAGGCTGTTCTGGAGAGGCCAGCTTGGAAAGATTCCCTGGGGCTGCCCATTGAGGATGATGGGAGGAAAATCCCCTGGGAGACATGAGACATCCCCAAGCATTTTCTGTTTACCAGACTGGGGTCTCCAGGAACTGAGGATACAGCTCAGAAAAGCGTTTCCCCTCACAATAATGATGATAACTAAAGAATTAAAACTTAAAAACAACATTAGCTGGAGAGATGGCTTAGTGGTTATGAACATTTGATTGTTGGGGGAAGTCCTGTTATTTGTCAATAAAGTACTGTTGAGCCTATAGGAATCTAGATAGGTGGGGCTAGGAGTCCAGGAGGATTCTGGGAAGGAGAAACACAAGAGAGTTCGAGATGTAACACCATTGGGGTAGGAAGCCCGGAAACCTCTCCGGTAAGAGACATACTTAGATTAACAATTATGGGGTAATTACTTAAGTCAGAGCTAGCCAGTTAGAAACAAGCAAGGCCAACAGCTTCATAATTAATACAGCCTCCTGTGTGTTTATTTGGGACTCAAGCGGCTCTGGAACCAGGCTGGCGGAACGGCTCCTTCTCAAGGAAAAAGCTTCTCTTAACATTTGATGATCTTGCAGAGGACTAGAATTTAGTTCTTAGCACCCACACAGCAGCTCACAACTACCTGTATCTGAAGTCCCAGAGAATCCCGTGACACCTTCTGGCCTACACACACGGGCACTAAAAATAAACCTGAAATAATAATAATGTAATCAGTGAATATTTATCACACCAAATTATACTGAAACTGTCAAGAGCGCTGGAAAGTACCATTCTAGTGTATGTTGGGGAGGAGAACATGAGAGCATTAAGTCTTTACCTCCCATAGTATGAAGTCAATCAATAGGCGATAGGTGTTTGAAAAGCCAAGAAACTGAATGTCAGTGTATTGTCTAAAAAGAGAACTCCACAGGAGGCACCTGTGACAGCACCTGCCTGGGAAAGTGTGAGATGAGGTAAAATGTTCTCTCAGGAACCCTAAGTTATTTGTTTTTCACAAGTACATATACTGATTTTTTTTTTCTAGGCAGGATCTCACTGTGTAGCCCTGGCTGTCCTAGAACTCACTATGTAGAACAGGCTGGACTGGAACTGACAGAGATCTATCTGACTCTGCTTCCTGAGTTCTGAAATTAATGGTGTGGGCCACCACACTTGGCCAAAATAAAATATAGATTTCAAAATGTATCGTGGGCCTGATGGCAAAGATCTGGAAGGGGAAGCAGAGTGTCAGGCATTTGAGCTACACAGTTGGAGGCTAACCCTGGTTACAAGAACTCCGGTAGCAAAAGGGGCTAGACCAAACAAACACAGCAGCGTGTGTGAAGCCCTGGGTTTGAACCCCACACTGCAAAAAGTTAAATCAAGAGTATCCAGATCCGGCCTGCGGGTGTGGCTCAGCTTATGACTTTGTTGCTACCTCTGTTCTGTCCCACCACAGGGCAGGTTTCCCTTCCACAAGGACTCCTGACCTAGATTCTACCACCAGGAGGATCCAAAACAGGCTGGGATGCTTAGAGTCCAGCGCTTCCCAGCAGTGGGGAGAGGAAACAGTTGCTTCTGTATATATGGAAATTCGTGGGCAGGTTTATTTGCTGGGAAGTCTGGGTCACTTCCCCTGTGGGTACTAGACACCCTGGAGGGTCAGGAGTAGGCTGTTTGAGAACTGAAGCCAGGGAGGAAAACCACTGCTGAATTGGTGTTAAAAACTGGTCTGGCCAGGGACTGGAGAGATGGCTTGGCGGCTGAAAGTACTGTCTGCTCTTCCAGAAGACGTGGATTCAATTCCCAGCACCCACACAGCAGCTCACACCTGTCTGTAACTTTAGTTCCAGGGCTTCTGACACGCTCACACAGACATACATGAAAGCAAAACACTAATGAAATGATTAAAAGCAAAAAAGTGGCCAGAGAGATGGTGCTGGCAGAGTCCCTGGCTAGAGCAAGTATTCTGCATCTGCACAGTTAGGCGCAGGTTCGGACAGACTAGGAATGCACTTTCCTAACTTGGTCTTGCCTGCTCTAGTGTGGCTAGTGCTAGAAGATTCTGCCCTTAGCTTTGAAATAGAGAACAAGCTAGTGGGTTATTCTGAGGAGTCATAAGGAGGGACACAACGATGATCTAGTATAAGTCATGTGTTCTAGGAGTGCTGGTTACTTAGGATCTGCCACTGCTACAACCTAATGTCCCCTAGATGACAAAGGTGCAGCTGCCAAGGAAAGAGACCCATCAGACTTTTATGGGAAGGGAACAATAAACAGAAATAAAGGGGCGTCTTTAGGTGGCAAAGCCTGAGCTGTGCTCTCCCAGGCAGGTGGCCAAGGCCAATGCTGATGAAAATGGTGCTTCCTCTATGGTCTTCACCCCCAAAAACTACAGCCCTATTGTAGTAACAACTAATATCTTAGACGAATCTAAGAGATAGTCTGCAAAACAGCTAAATGAAATTCTGTGACACAAGAAAGACATTAGGCTAAAATATAAAGGAACCAGGATCCAGCCTGAAGACTTGAGTTCCATGCCCAGGATCCAAACAATAGAAAGAAAAGAACCAACTTCCATCAGTTGTCCTCTGACCTCTATACTGTTTCAAAAAACAAACAAGAAGCTGAACAGTTGGCTCAGTGGTTAAGACTACCAGCTACTCTTGCAGAGGACCCAGGTTTGGTTCCCAGGACCCACATGGCAACCCATAACCATCTATAACCTGGTTCCAGGGAATCTTATACTCTCTTCTGATCTCCACTGGTACCAGACATGTACATGGTACACATATATGTATTCAAGCAAAATAATCATATAAATAAAAATAAATAAATATAAGACAAAACAAACAAACTGAAACTGCTCAAGTCCCACATATAAAATGGTGTACTAGGCTGGGTGGTGGCGCACACCTTTAATCCCAGCACTTGGGAGGCAAAGGCAGGTGATATCTGTGAGTGTAAGGCCAGCCTGGTCTACAGAGTGAGTTTTAGGATAGACAGGGCTACCCTGTCTCAAAAAGCCAGAAAGAAAGAAAGAAAGAAAGAAAGAAAGAAAGAAAGGAGGAAGGAAGGAAAGGAAGAAAAGAAAAATGATGTACTAGGCTCTACTGCTTCCCATTCTAGAGACAGCCATATCTCGGGCAGTGCCAGCAGCGTTGTCCCCAAGACACAATGGTGAAGGTTGGAGTGAATAGATTTGGCAGTATTGGGTGCCTGGTTACCAGGGCTTCCTTACACTCCAGCAAAGTGGATACTGTTGCCATCATTGTTGATCCCTTCATTGACCTCAACTACATGGTCCACATGTTCCAGTATGACTCTACCCATAGAAGGTTCTACAGCACAGTCAAGAATGAGACTAGGAACTTGTCATCAACAGGAAGGCTGTCACCATCTTCCAGGATCAAGATCCCACCAACATCAAATAGGGTGATGCTGGTGCCAAATATGTAGTGGCATCTGCTGATGTCTTTGCCACCGTGGAGAAAGTTGGGGCCCACTTGAAGGGTAGGATCAAAAGGGTCACCATCTCTGCCCCTTCTGCTGATGCCCCCATGTTTGTGATGGGTGCAAATCATGAGAAGAATGACAATTCACTCATGGTTGTCAGCAACGCTTCCTGCACCACCAACTGCTTAGCCTCCCTGGCAAAGGTCATTCATGACAACTTCAGGATTGTGGAAGGACTCATGACCATAGTCCATGCCATCACTGCCACCCAGAAGACTGTGAATGGCCCCTCTGGGAAGCTGAGGCGTGATGGCCCTGAGATTGCCCAGAACATCATCCCTGCATCCACTGGTGCTGCCAAGTCTGTGGGCAAGGTCATTCCAGAGCTGAATGGGAAGCTCACGTGCATGGCCTTCCATGTTCTTAACCTCAATGTGTCTGTCATGGATCTGCCATGCTGCCTGGAAAAAGCTGTCATGTATGAGGACGTCGAGAAGGTGGCGAAGCAGGCATCCGAGGGCCCACTAAAGGGCATCCTGGACTACACTGAGGTCCGCTGTCTCCTGTGACTAACAGTGATACCCCTCTTCCACCTTTGATGCTGGGGCTGGAACTGCTCTCAATAACAATTTTGCATTTCTTGGTATGATAATGACGATAACTACAGTCACAGAATTGTGGACCTCATGGCCTACATGACCTCCAAGGAGTAAGAAGCCCTGGAGCACCCACTCCAGCAATAACACAAGAGCAAGAGAGAAGTCTTTGGCTGATGAGGAGCCCCTGTACCAATTCAGCCCTGACACTAAGCATGTTCCCTCACAGTTTCCATTCCAGACCCCCAGGAGAAGGGGCAGAGCTTAGGGAACTCTACTTTCTTGAATATCATACATGCACGTGTGCACGTGGGAGCACACGAGCAGACACACATACACACACACACAGTATATTAATGTATACACATCCTCCTGTAATCTTTACATTCTCTCCAGATGGTTTTTCTACTGTACTGTTTAGGGAATAACAAAGAAAAAATGGTTATGCATGTTCAGTTCAAATACAAGGATCCTAGGCCTCACTACATAGCTCACATCAGCAATGAGTTTGTTCTTGATTGACTGAAGCCATGGGTGTGGAAGCTGCAGATGCAAAGGGCTGCACGAACACACACACACACACACACACACACACACACACACACACACACACACACGAATGTCTGAAAGAGCTCCAGCCCACAGCCTAGAAAGCAACTTCCCTTTCCAGGGCAAAGTACAGGAGAGCTAGAGCCTTCACCTGAGCTGTGTAGACAAGTGTGTCTTTGGTTTGTGGTTATTTTGAGGGTTCCTTTCATTTGATTCTGCCCTGCACCTACCACCTACCCTGACACTCACATTCTTGCCACCTGCCTGGCCCTTGCCCCGCTGTTTCCTGGGAAGTCAGATGCAGGAGATAGAGAAGTCACTGCTCAGCTTGTGGTTTCCTTTATTTTTGTTTTTGGTTGGTTGTTTGGTTGGTTTTTGAGACAGTCTCACTATGTGCTTTGAACTTACTTCAGTTCTCCCTTGTCTGCCTCCCAAGTTAAAGATGTGAGCCATGACACTGGGATTTGGGTTTCTTTGTTACTTTTATTTTTAGAGGGGTGTGGTGCTATCTTGTTTGTACTCTAACAAATAAAGCTTGCCTGAAGATCAGAGGGTGAAGCTAGCCACTAGTTAGTGATAGAGGTCTGGAGGTCTGTACAGACAGGAAGTGAGATGGCCGGGCGGAGAAAGGAATATAAGGCAGCAGTTCAGTCTCTTCAGGCTGAGGATTTCGTAGAGGTAAGAGCTCTAGTGAATGGCTGCTCTGCTTCTCTGTTCTTTCAGCTTTCACCCCCTAATATCTGACTCTAGGTTTTTATTAAGACCAATTAGAACTCATGCTACAGAGGAGTGTGGTATGTGTGGGGGGGTGTCTGTAGGAGTGTGGTGTGTGTGTGTGTCGGTGTCTGTCTGTCTGTCGTGTATGTGTGCACACATGAGAACAGGTGTCCAGGGAGTCCGCAGGAAGATGTTGGATGCTCTGGAGTTGGGTTGTAAGTTGTGAGCTGCCCACCTTAGTGCTGGGGACTTCGGGACTCTGCAAAAGCAGCACAAGTTCTTAACTGCTGATCTTCACTGCAGCCATTTGTTTCCTTTTGGTTTGTTTTATTTGATTTTTTTTCTGAGACAGGGTTTCACCGTTTAGCCCTGGTTGTACAGGAACTCGCTCTGTAGACCAGGCTGGCTTTGAATTCACAGTGATCCACCTGCCTCTGCCTCCCAAGTGCTAGAATTAAAGGTGTGCGCCACCAGGTGGGCTGGTATGCTCCCAAGCCCACATACCTACAGGCCCATCTCAGGTCCTGCCTCCCCAGGAACACAGGGTGCCTGGGGAGATGCTTCTTCAGGAGAGAGTCTTAAATGGATCTAATTTCACACTAGACAGATCAGGAGGCTGGATCTTGGCTCTTGAAACTCAGAAAGCTGCAGGGACTCCTCACCACCATCCAGCCTATGGAAGTGAAAGCAGCCTCAGAGCCTCTGGAACAGGAATTATGGTGTCTGTGAGACACCATGTGGGTGCTGGGAACCAAACCCAGGTCCTCCACAAGAGCAATACTCTCTTACTGCTGAGCTGTCTCTCCAGCTCCAAATGTCTGTGTGTGTATGGGGGAGGAGGGGGAGGGTTGTTTGTTTTGTTTTATTTTTTAAGAAAAAGAGGCAAGGAGACAAACTGGTTCAAGATCAATCAGAGGTCCTAAAAAAATCAATAGATCAATAGACTAGTCAAATAAAATAACGTAGACTAGACTAGAAACCAGAAATCACCTGTGGAAAGCACTCAGCAGGTAAGCAAGAGAACCCAAGTTTGGTTTCTCAATCCTTAAACCCTCAGTGGAAGGAAAGAATTGATTCTAAAACTTGTCTTCTGACCTCCACTTGTTTGCCTTGGCACACATACCTGTACTTATACACATGTACACACATGAATATAATAATAATAAAAATTAAAACAAGCAGGGCAGTGGTGGCACACACCTTTAGTCCCAGCACTTGAGAGGCAGAGGCAGGCATATCTCTGTGAGTTCAAGACCAGCCTGGTCTACAAGAGCTAGTTCCAGGACAGTCTCCAAAGCCACAAAGAAACCCTGTCTCAAAAAAACAAGAAAAGCCAAACAAACAAACAAAAAAATAAGAATAGGTTAAGAAATAGCAGTCAGATCAGATGGTCTACACCTTTAATCCCAGCACTAGGGAATCAGAGGCAGTTGGATCTCTGAATTCAAACCAGCCTAGTCTACATAGTTCCAGGCCAGCCTAGTATACTCAAAAGACTGAAGTCCAATTTTAAAAAGAAAGTAACCTACAATAAATGGACAACCTCAGGAATTTGCCCACCATTGAACGTACCTGCAGGCTAAAGAGCTTAGAGAGCTGGGAAGAGCTACACTTTCATGCAAATTTTTGTTAAAAGTGAAAAAAATGCTTAGCCTTTTGTTTTTAATACAATAGGATACACAGTCAGCCCTCCTTATTGGTATGCAAAGTTAACTGAGTTAACTGATTGTAAATCAAAAAGGTTCAAAAACTAATCATCCAAAATAAACATGCACAGATTCTTTTGTTTTTTGGAAACAGGGTTTCTGTGTAGCCCTGGCTGTCCTAGAACTCCTTCTGTAGACCAGGCTAGCCTCAAACTCACAGAGATCCGCCTACCTCTGTCTCCCAAATGCTAGGATTAAAAGTGTGTGCCATCTCTGCCTGGCATAATATATTTAAGTAAGGATGCCAGGTGTGGTGGCACACACTCTTAATCCCAGCACTGGGGAGGCAAAGGCAGGAGGATCTCTGTGAGTTGGAGGCCAACCTGGTCTATATAGCGAGTACCAGGCCAGTCAGGCCTACATAGAAAGATTCTGTCTCAATTTTTTTTAAATGAGGAACTGAGAGAGATGGCTCAGTAGTTAAGAGCACTGACTGCTCTTCCAGAGGACCTGATTTGCTTTTCTTGTGGGAGCTCACAACCATCTGTAATTTCAGTTAAGGGATCCAATACTGGCTTCTGCCTCCTCGGGTACCCGGCACGAAAGTGGCACACAGGCATGCCCACAAACACCTATTAACATTAAAATTAAAATTATAAAAATTAATGACTTTTGGAGGGGGGAGGGGGAGGAAAAAATTAATGACTTTCTGTATCATCATAAAAGGAGCCATCATGACACAGGGCACCTGTGGAGGAATGCAAGATCCCACTCATAGGAAGGAAGTCTTAAGCCAGTCTTGGGACAATGCAGAAACAATATGTGGGATCAAGATGCGTCTCAGCCAAGTTCTGGAAAAGGAGTATCCTTCAGGCCTGTTGGTAGAAGACCATGTGGACAGAGGCAGTGTCCCAGAAGAGTATGCAAATGTCTTATATAGTGGAGAAAAACAGTGACCCAGTCTTCCCATGGTCCTCAAGGGCTGTGACAGACAGGTCCTGACAGACTGAGTAGAACAAGGTGCTGTCTAGGTTGAAGAGCCTAATGCAGCTGGAGCAAAGGGGAACACACCTCTAATCCCAGCACTTGGGAGGCCGAGGTAGGATCAAGAGTTCAAGGCCATTTTACTACAAAGTAAAATCCTGTCTCCTCCAAAACAACAAAAACTAAAATAAACAATCCAAAGTAAGAGCAACCTTAAGGGACAAGATGAGTGCTGTGCAAACTCTGTCCCAACATGACAGTACATGCAAGCCCCAGCTCTGGATGGTTTGTGTATATGGATTCTACCTGATACAGAATGAAAATATTAGGAGGGAGGGGCATCTGGGAGATGGATAAATGGATAAAGCACTTGCCATGCTCATGTGAGGAACAGAGTTTAGATCCACAGAACCCACACAAAAGCCAGTCTTCCTGTAATCCCAGAGCCCTGGAGGCAGATTTAGGACTCCCTGGAGCAAGCTGGGTGGCTGGAATAGACAAACCAGTGAGCTCCAAGTTTGGTGAGAAAGACACCTGACATTAACCTCCTGCCTCTACACACAAGTGCACATACATGCCCACATACATGTGAACATGCATATACATATACATACACCCCACACATGCACCCAGGGGGAATAAAAGTTCTTTTCCAATGTTGGGGCATCCATCTTCAGCCTACAGGCCCAGTGTGTCTGACAGAGATTTCAGCGAAGCAGGAAATTTGAAACTGTCCACTGTATGGGCAGTTTGTCAGTCATTTTTCTCTGTGTCCTGCAGAATGTCTAGCAGACTCTTCCATGAAGCAGGAACCCTGCAGGAATGTCCCATCTGTACTGAATAGTCAGACTTTCTTGTCATTATCCTCTAAAAACTATAGGATAATATCCATTTAAGGTATTGACGTATATTATATTGGGGGTAGATAATGCAAGTAATTGAAAGTGAGTTAAAGCACACAGGAGGAAGTGTGTGGGGTACCGCAAATACTGAGATACTTTATATAAGAAACCAGAGTCTTTGTCCTTGGATGCCACGATGGGGCTTAGTTATGGTCTTGGAACAAATCCCCCATGA